TTCTAATTTATAACTTTTTCGAATACACACAGAATAGCGTTGGAAATGCTTACTCAGAGAAATCGAAATGGATTAATGTATAGAAAACAATCTCTTCTTGATGAATATTTAAAAAATGAAAATTTAGATATCAAAGATATCGTAGAACTGGCAGTTGATATGTTGCTCGCTGGTGTAGATACTGTAAGTTATCAATAGACCTTATAAATTAGATAAACATTCAAATTTTTATAAACTTAGTCCGATTTTTTTTTTATTGACTTATGCACGAATTTTATATTATTTTAGACGACATACAGCATGTCGTTCGTCTTGTATCATCTTGCAAGAAATGCAAGTATCCAAGAAAAATTAAGATTAGAAGCTACAAATTTGTTAAAGGATCCTACATCACCTATAACGGCAGAAATTATAAGGAATGCTAAATATACTAAAGCTGTATTAAAAGAAACTTTCAGGTTAAATCCTCTCTCTGTAGGAATAGGTCGTATCCTGCAAACTGATGTAGTCCTGAGCGGATATCACGTTCCTAAAGGAGTAGTGTATTTTTGTATACTAATAAATATTTTATTATTTTTAAAAATAGTGACGTAAATGACAGTTTCTTTAAGAGAAAATCTTATTGAAACGTTTCAGACTGTGATTGTGACACAAAATCAAGTGATTGGTCGACTTCCCGAGTATTTCGACGAACCAAATTTATTCAGACCAGAGAGATGGTTACGTGATAATAATGACGGAGTAAACAAGTGGAGAGAAAAGTTTGTCAATCCGTATACTGTATTGCCTTTTGGCTATGGTCCACGATCGTGTATCGCAAGACGATTCGCTGAACAAAATTTGCAAGTTATCTTACTCCGGGTATGTGTCATATAAGAACTATATACCATCCTTCATAACATACATATTATAATGCACAATCATATAATCAATGAGTTCTTTCTAGATCTGCAGAAATCTACGGTTTACATGGTGTGGAGAATCTCTTGATTCGATTTCGTTGTTAATCAATAAACCTGACGGACCTATTAAATTGAGATTCGAAAATCTACATGCATAAAAAAAATAAGTCATTGAGACTATGGCAATAGATAACTCTTAGAAACATTGTATTAGAAAACGTTTATTATATTCTACTTGAGAATAAAATTGTTTCTTAATTAATTCAATACATACAGCGATAAAAATAATTATAAGATTTATATGACTTGCTGATAACTTACTGAACGCAAAATTTAAATATTTTGCGAATGAATTCTAATTGTAGGTCATATACTTTGGTGTTGCAGAAAATTTGGCGTATGATTTAATAACCTTATTAACTGCCTCGAGAAAATCCTTCTCCGTTGCAACTTTACGTCGTGCACGGATCGCAAACATACCAGCTTCGGTACAGACCGATCGTATTTCAGCGCCTGTACTATTAGGACATAAACGAGCGAGCAATTCAAACCTGATGTCCCTTTCGACGCTCATCGAACGTGCGTGAATCTTGAAAATGTGCGTGCGTCCCTCAAGATCTGGCAAACCAAATTCTATCTTTCTGTCCAAACGACCCGGTCGCATTAAGGCGGGATCCAACGTATCCGGCCTATTTGTCGCCATTAAAACTTTTATATTGCCACGCGGATCAAATCTATAAAAAAAAAAAAACTGAGATTAGACGACAACTTTTTTAAGGATAGATAAACGAGACAATTTACCCATCTAGTTGATTTATTAACTCCAACATAGTACGTTGTACTTCATTATCACCACCAGCACCATCATCAAAACGAGCACCGCCAATGGCATCGATTTCATCGAAGAAAATTAAACATGCCTTTTTACTTCGTGCCATTTCGAACAGTTCTCTTACCATTCTAGCACCCTGCAAAAGAATTGTGTATACGTCATTCATATAAATACTTGCTTATTTATAACTAAATAAATGATAAATATACCAAGGACAATATAATAGTCACTCAGTGGCTACTGGCTATATAACTAAGTAAAAAAAACGGGCTAAAGAGAGTACAGCGCAGTTCGCAATGCACAATATAATAACGAATTTTTACAATTCATTCAATTTAATGTGATAGAACAAAAGTTTTTTTTTAATTTTACAATAGACGTCCTTTTAATATCTTGACTACACTTGTGTGACACAGTACCTCAGACACACTTAGACACCTCAGAGATGTTACGGTATAAACATATTAATGTATCATAAACATTTCTGACAAATTATTTTAGTAAGATTTATTGATTTGCACATGTTTCAATATTAATAAAGTAACTGTCTTCCAAATTGCTAACAATTTCAATTTCCTAAAGGTAAGTCTATTTTCAGTTCAATATAAAACTTTACGTAATCACTCAATGTATTTATTAAAAGACATTTGATATTTGAAAGTTTGGTAATCTGTGAGTGACTTATCTTTAATAAACTGATGAGAATTACATAATTATATCCAAATATTCGCTGATGATAACTCAAAAAGAGTTGAAACATTCGAAAAAAATGTTTTCTTCGTTTAGTTATTACCTATAACTGCTATAACAGTATTCTTTTAAACATCTGACATACCTCACCAACATATTTCTGAACTAATTCTGAACCAATGACACGAATGAAACAGGCATCTGTTCTGTTAGCTACCGCTCTAGCACATAAAGTCTTTCCTGTGCCTGGAGGTCCAAACAATAAAACACCTTTTGGTGGTTCAATACCAAGATTGACAAATTTCTCTGGCTGTAATTAATATAATTATACTTTGTTAACAAATGTAATATATGACTATATCATATGATCCCCTTTTATACCAAGCATTCAATTATACATATTAACTTAAATAAAATAACTTTTTATCAAATTATCTTAAATTCAGCAATTTATTTAAAGAATAATGTCCTAAATTAGTACATTATGCATTGAAATGATTAAATGCACATATCATGTATATGTTTACATGTATCACCCCAAAATTAAGATAATTCAACAGAAAGTTATTAGTTAATAATCATAACAAGTGCTTGATGTAAACTAGGGCTATATTAATAAAGTTATAAACAGACATGTAATAGTGGCGTTTCAACAACTTCTCTCAATTTTTCAATTTGCTCTTTGCAGCCACCAACATCGCTATACGTAACATCAGGCTTCTCTTCCACTTGCATCATTGTTACGGTAGGATCAATTTTGGATGGCAGAGGAATATGAATTTGATACTTGTTGCGATCTACTCCTACCCTCATACCTTCTTCTATATCTGTTGGTGCTACAGAATCTGCCAAGTCAACTACAAACTTTGCGAACTGCTTTACATTTATTATATACTTTGGATCGTCAGAATCTGCATTTATGATTTTGGTACAGCGTGCTACTTGCAGAGGTTGTTCATTTTGTAAAGTTTGTTTGTCAGCTGCTAAGTCCCAAAGTGCTGGTGGTGCTAGACCAGTATCAGATTCTTTGATCCCAGTTAATTCATTTACACGTTTGATAATTGTTTGGATATCCTCCTCAACAGTCTTAATACTCTTCGTATATTGTCCTTGGCCCTAATTAAAACAAAAATTTACAAGAATTCTAGATAGGCATTCATATAGAGTAATTCATTTCTGTATTTTGATTTTCAATTTCTCTTTTAATAATAACGTAACAATGATTGACTCACATAAGTCTTTAACAAAGCGATGTCGCCTTCATCCAGTGCTGGAAAATTTAGGAGAAAGTTTTTAGGAAATAGAAATTATGGCAAGAGATGGGCAATAAGAGTCATGAAATAAAACTCACATTTTATCTCCTTTTCTTCTTTCTCCTCTTCGTTCTTTACCTTCCGCATATCTTCTCCTAGATGATCCGGCATGTTAAGTTGTCTTAATTGCTCACTTTAATCGTCAAACGTTCGTTCTTACCGAAGTTAACAGTTCTGTTGTTTTGATCTTTAGGATTCTTTGAGGTTACGTTCTTTCTGATTACAAGCAAAATCACAAAAGAACTTCAGTAGCGACATCTATGGCCTTATTCTGTAATCTTAACAACAATATCGATATCGTTATGTGCGTTGTGCAACTTATGAAATGTCTCTGGTTTTTCATAAGAAATATCTGCATCACACGACACTGTAACGATATCAACTGTCGGAATATTCAGCGAAAAAATATATTATTCGCGCAGTTTCAAACGTAATTTTGTGAAATATATATATATATATATATATATATATATATATATAAAATAATATTAAAGCAGTATAGTGATAAATATTTTCCTCTTCATAAATATCTTCGAGAAGATTTTATGTGTAAAACGTACTTATTGCATAAATGTTATTACAGAATTTGTAACAATTATTTTGAAAAAATCATGTTTACAAACTATTTAAAAATAAATTGTCATAATGCGATTCCAACTTTAAAAATAACAAATATTGAAAATGATCAAAACATTTAAGTTAGTATATCATTTTATATTATAGATATATTTATATATAACATGTATTTCAAATGAAATATAATGTAAGAGCATTTTGTTTAATTCAAAGATAAAATATAAATGAATTGACTACATTTTAATCTACAGCAACAGTAAATTAATTCGTGTAACTTATATTCCAAAAAAAATTAAATAATATATGATACACTAACTTTTATGTTATCTTTTTATTTTTATTGCATTTTCTAAAATTACCTCTTAAATATATTTCAAAATATATTTCTTTTGTATAAGAGAAACTAGAAATATTAGATATATTTTGATTAGAACTTCTAATAAAAGACGCATTGTGACTAATGCACGCATATCACTGTGATTTAAGATATCGATATAATGTCAAAAACATTTATCAGAGGGTCCTATACTCCTTATATATAGTGACACAATTTTATATCTTACTGACACTTTTAATTATAGTTTTTGTAGTTTTCGTTGAGTTACAGAATACGATTTTTTATTAATATTGATAAACTTACTTAACAATCGTCGTTATGGAGTTACAGAATACAGGCTTTATAAATAGGATAAGTTATCCTGTCACCGCGCAAATCGTAAATATGATTACACAAATATGCGTGTTTTTATTACCTCTCTCTCTCTCTCTCTCTTAGCGCGGTTCACATTAACTCTCATATTAGCAGTTGCCAAATAACAAGATATAAGCAAGTTTACCTCAGAGAACGAATGTAAGAATTCTTAAAAAAGAAGAGAAAAACAAAGTATAATATCATCTAGTATACTATTAAATTATATATTACACTGACGCAGGCTTTAACTTCAAATGACATACGGCAGAGTGTATTGTTTTGTCAATGGGCTAAAGCTAAACAATAATTACGCAACGATTATCAATGTTGCGTTCAGCATTGACAAAGCAAAGAAAGCAACTTTGCAACTGTTGTGAAATTCTTTAATATGATTGGTCTTGTCCTTACTTTATTCGATCTAAATGTATAAACTAATCATATTCAAGAATTTTACAACAGTTGCAAAGCTGCTTTTTCTGAATGCAGCCAATATTAACATGATCAAATGGGACACTTCAACATTGATTTATTAACTTTTAATCCTCATAACTTGTAAAGTAATGCTCGTATTTAATAAAACATATTTTATTATGTTTTAGAGAGAGAGAGAGAGAGAGAGAGAGAGAGAGAGAGAGAGAGATTTTTAAATCAACTATATACATATAAATATGAAATAAAACATCCAAGTTTCAATTAAAAAAATTTTAGATAACCTCGACCTTAAAGACATCTTCTCAAGATCATCATATTCTTTTTCCCTAACAACTGAACAACTTTTGTCTAAAAGACTTTTCTGTATTTTTATAATTCTCAAGATATTTCAATACATCGATTAACGTAAAATAATTCATTTATAAAGATAGAATATCACTCACAAACAATTGAAAAGTACTTACTAATGAAGTTTGAAAAATCCAAGTATGCTCGTTTTTTGAGTCTGTGCAAGCATATACCAAACGACCATTTAAAACATTTGCATCACAGTAATTTTTAAGTGACATGTCGATAAGGATAGAGTCTCTATATAGGAACTTTAGTGTGCACCTAATTAAAGAGTATACAAATAAAAAATAAACCTTACGTATGTATGTGTACATACAAACTATCAGTACCAATTCAGAAATACAGTTTGTATGTATTATACATATTTGATTTCTAAAAAGTAGCAACCGCAGAAGCTCAATTTTATTTAATTTTTTACAGAGAGACAATTTTTACTTAAAAATATATTTGTTAAATATAATTGTAAAAATATACATATAATTGTAAATTTTTTAAATATACAATAATATTTTATAAAATAATTGTTGGTTTAAATATTAATTTTCTTTATATATGTAAATCACTTCTCTAAATTTATTCAAAATTTAATAAACTATAAGATAATTAACAAATTTATTTTAATTTTTCTTTTTTTTAATGTTTATCATTTTTATACAAAAAATCTTTGCATTATTTATGGAAGGATGTCAATGACATAAATCTCTATTGAAACTTTATTCACAATTTATGCAATTCTAATTTATAACTTTTTCGAATACACACAGAATAGCGTTGGAAATGCTTACTCAGAGAAATCGAAATGGATTAATGTATAGAAAACAATCTCTTCTTGATGAATATTTAAAAAATGAAAATTTAGATATCAAAGAATAGAACTGGCTCAAAGAATTGATATGTTGCTCGCTGGTGTAGATACTGTAAGTTTTCAATAGAACTTATAAATTAGATAAACATTCAAATTTTTATAAACTTAGTCCGATTTTTTTTTTATTGACTTATGCACGAATTTTATATTATTTTAGACGACATACAGCATGTCGTTCGTCTTGTATCATCTTGCAAGAAATGCAAGTATCCAAGAAAAATTAAGATTAGAAGCTACAAATTTGTTAAAGGATCCTACATCACCTATAACGGCAGAAATTATAAGGAATGCTAAATATACTAAAGCTGTATTAAAAGAAACTTTCAGGTTAAATCCTCTCTCTGTAGGAATAGGTCGTATCCTGCAAACTGATGTAGTCCTGAGCGGATATCACGTTCCTAAAGGAGTAGTGTATTTTTGTATACTAATAAATATTTTATTATTTTTAAAAATAATGACGTAAATGACAGTTTCTTTAAGAGAAAATCTTATTGAAACGTTTCAGACTGTGATTGTGACACAAAATCAAGTGATTGGTCGACTTCCCGAGTATTTCGACGAACCAAATTTATTCAGATCAGAGAGATGGTTGCGTGATAATAATGACGGAGTAAACAAGTGGAGAGAAAAGTTTGTCAATCCGTATACTGTATTGCCTTTTGGCTATGGTCCGCGATCGTGTATCGCAAGACGATTCGCTGAACAAAATTTGCAAGTTATCTTACTCCGGGTATGTGTCATATAAGAACTATATACCATTCTTCATAACATACATATTATAGTGCACAATCATATAATCAATGAGTTCTTTCTAGATCTGCAGAAATCTACGGTTTACATGGTGTGGAGAATCTCTTGATTCGATTTCGTTATTAATCAATAAACCTGATGGATCTATTAAATTGAGATTCGAAAATCTATATGCATAAAAAAAATAAGTCATTGAAACTATGGCAACAGATAACTCTTAGAAACATTGTATTAGAAAACATTTATTATATTCTACTTGAGAATAAAATTGTTTCTTAATTAATTCAATAGATACAGCGATAAAAATAATTGTAACATTTATATGACTTGTTGATAACTTACTGAACGCAAAATTTAAATATTTTGCGAATGAGTTCTAATTGTAAGTCATATACTTTGGTGTTGCAGAAAATTTGGCGTATGATTTAATGACCTTATTAACTGCCTCGAGAAAATCCTTCTCCGTTGCAACTTTACGTCGTGCACGGATCGCAAACATACCAGCTTCGGTACAGACCGATCGTATTTCAGCGCCTGTACTATTAGGACATAAACGAGCGAGCAATTCAAACCTGATGTCCCTTTCGACGCTCATCGAACGTGCGTGAATCTTGAAAATGTGCGTGCGTCCCTCAAGATCTGGCAAACCAAATTCTATCTTTCTGTCCAAACGACCCGGTCGCATTAATGCGGGATCCAACGTATCTGGCCTATTTGTCGCCATTAAAACTTTTATATTGCCTCGCGGATCAAATCTAAAAAAAAAAAAACTGAGATTAGACGACAACTTTTTTAAGGATAGATAAACGAGACAATTTACCCATCTAGTTGATTTATTAACTCCAACATAGTACGTTGTACTTCATTATCACCACCAGCACCATCATCAAAACGAGCACCGCCAATGGCATCGATTTCATCGAAGAAAATTAAACATGCCTTTTTACTTCGTGCCATTTCGAATAGTTCTCTTACCATTCTAGCACCCTACAAAAGAATTGTGTATACGTCATTCATATAAATTCTTGCTTATTTATAACTAAATAAATGATAGATATACCAAGGACAATACAATAGTCACTCAGCTATACATATAGCCACTGGGCTATATAACTAAGTAAAAAAAACGAGCTAAAGAGTGTACAGCGCAGTTCGCAATGCACAGTATAATAATGAATATAATAATAATTTTTACAATTCATTCAATTTAATCTGATAGAACGAAAGTTTTTTTTTAATTTTACAATAGACATCCTTTTAATATCTTGACTACACTTGTGTGACACAGTACCTCAGACACACTTAGACACCTCAGAGATGTTATGGTATAAACATATTATTATATCACATAAACATTTCTGACAAATTCTTTTAATAAGATTTATTGATTTGCACATGTTTCAATATTAATAAAGTAATTGTCTTCCAAGCTGCTAACAATTTCAATTTCCTAAAGGTAAGTCTGTTTTCAGTTCAATATAAAACTTTACGTAATCACTCAATGTATTTGTTAAAAGACATTTGATACTTGAAAGTTTTTGGTAATCTGTGAGTGACTTATCTTTGATAAACTGACGAAAATTACATAATTATATCTAAATATTCGCTGATGATAACTCAAAAAGAGTTAAAACATTCGAAAAAAATGTTTGTTTTTTTGTTTAGTTATTACTTATAACTGCTATAACAGTATTCTTTTAAACATCTGACATACCTCACCAACATATTTCTGAACTAATTCTGAACCAATGACACGAATGAAACAGGCATCTGTTCTGTTAGCTACCGCTCTAGCACATAAAGTCTTTCCTGTGCCTGGAGGTCCAAACAATAAAACACCTTTTGGTGGTTCAATACCAAGATTGACAAATTTCTCTGGCTGTAATTAATACAAGTTGTACTTTGTTAACAAATGTAATATATGATTATATCATATGATCCCTTTTTACACCAAGCATTCAATTATACATTTTAACTAGTAACTTTCTATCAAATTATCTTAAATTCAGCAATTTATTTAAAGAATAATGTCCTAAATTAGTACATTATGCATTAAAATGATTAAATGCACATATCATGTATATGTTTACATGTATCACCCTAAAAATTAAGATAATTCAACAGAAAGTTATTAGTTAATAATCATAACAAGAGCTTGATGTAAACTAGGGCTATATTAATAGGGTTATAAACAAACATGTAATAGTGGCGTTTCAACAACTTCTCTCAATTTTTCAATTTGCTCTTTGCAGCCACCAACATCGCTATACGTAACATCAGGCTTCTCTTCCACTTGCATCATTGTTACGGTAGGATCAATTTTGGATGGCAGAGGAATATGAATTTGATACTTGTTGCGATCTACTCCTACCCTCATACCTTCTTCTATATCTGTTGGTGCTACAGAATCTGCCAAGTCAACTACAAACTTTGCGAACTGCTTTACATTTATTATATACTTTGGATCGTCAGAATCTGCATTTATGATTTTGGTACAGCGTGCTACTTGCAGAGGTTGTTCATTTTGTAAAGTTTGTTTGTCAGCTGCTAAGTCCCAAAGTGCTGGTGGTGCTAGACCAGTATCAGATTCTTTGATCCCAGTTAATTCATTTACACGTTTGATAATTGTTTGGATATCCTCCTCAACACCCTTAATACTCTTCGTATATTGTCCTTGGCCCTAATTAAACAAAAATTTACAAGAATTCTAGATAGGCATTCATATAGAGTAATTCATTTCTGTATTTTGATTTTCAATTTCTCTTTTAATAATAACGTAACAATGATTGACTCACATAAGTCTTCAACAAAGCGATGTCACCTTCATCCAGTGCTGAAAATTTAGGAGACAGTTTTTAGGAAATAGAAATTATGACAAGAGATGGGCAATAAGAGTCATGAAATAAAACTCACATTTTATCTCCTTCTCTTCTTTCTCCTCTTCGTTTTTAACCTTCCGCATGTCCAGATAATCCGGCATCAGTGATGCGATTTTCAACCCGCTTGAAGCACTCGACGGTGACAGCTAGGATTCTTTGAGGAGTTTGAGGTTACGTTCCTCCTGATTACAAGCAAAATCAGAAAAAACTTCAGTAGCGACATCTATGGCCTTATTCTGTAATTCTTAACAACAATATCGATATCGTTATGTGCGTTGCGCACTTATGAAATATATTTCATATGAAATTATCTGCATGACACGACACTGTAACGATATCGACTGTCGGAATATTCAGCGAAAAGATATATTATTCGCGCAATTTCAAACGTTATTTTGTGTGAAATAAGATAATATTTTTACATTATAATAATAAATTATATTTTTTAGATCAAAGCAATGAATATCTTCGAGAAGATTTTATGTCTAAAACGTACCTATTGTATAAATGTTATTACAGAATTTGTAACAATTATTTTGAAAATATCATGTTTACAAACTATTTAAGAAATAAATTGTCATAATGCGATTCCAACTTTACAAAAATAACAAATATTGAAAATGATTTATATAGATATTTATAATAACATGTATTTCAAATAAAATATAATGTAAGAATATTTTGTTTAATTAAATGATAAATATGAATGAATTGACTACATTTTATAATCTACAGCAATTAACTTTAAATTAATTCGTGTAACTTAATTTAAAGTATATACTATGACATAAAAACATCTATCCAAATAATCTAGATATATCAAACAACAAAAATGAGAGAGATGAGAGAGAGCTTGAAAGTGGCCTCCCTGCTTAAAATTTTCTATAGAAAACTATTAAGAAAATTCTATAGTTTTTAATGAGCGTTTTGAATCGGTAAATCCCAATCCGCAATAGTTTTCTATTATTATACTCATAGAATCTTATTGATAACTGTAGAGCTTCTATAGTCGCTCTCGTGCGTTCTATAGAAACTATTAAAAACTATAAATACCTATACAAACTCTATATGTTCCTATAGTTTTTTATAGAAAATTTTAAGCAGGACTATCTCCTTCTGTTTCTAATAATATATATATTGTGATTGATTTAATAGAAATAGAGATAGAAATTGGCTATTTTCATATCCTATTTTTTCTCATTTCTATCGAACAATTTTATACATGAAGGCGCAGGATCCATGCTTTACGTCTTTCGTCAAAATAAACAATCAAATAACATAACGCGCTCTTAATATCAAGTAGCATTTTTTATTTTTTATTATATTATATTTAAAATAAATTATTATTTGTATGGTGTGTGTGGCTTAATGTTTATAATTTTAATTATTACAGTTTATAACCATAATAATTATATTTTGTAGAATAATGCAAATTTATCAGTATCTTCACGATCATGTAATTTCGGAAACACATATATTACCGTCTGCATAGATATTGATTATAATTATACATATACAATATTAAATATAAATTAATTGTAAATAATTCAACACTTTCATCCATGTTGAAGTAGAACAACTATACTGATCTCTATTAATCAATAGCAAGAATTAATTCAAGCATCTATAGTATTCGGTACAATCAAGAAATAGAATAATCTGCTCACAAATGCAAACACGAATGTTCACGTTTGCTAGATGTATACATGCGCTTTATATTTCTTCTCGTTCTTTGCATTTATTTTCTCTTTTCTTCCTTCTCCCTCTCTCTTTCTTCGTCTCCTCCATTTAATCACTTTCACATCTCTGCGTCTCGTATGACGATCGATTCTACTGAATCTTTCGAAGGAAGTGCAGAACCGCCCAAGTCGCGTTGCATGCACCGGACGGAGAATCCTTGACCGGGATGATGCGTGAAAGAATGCAAAGTAACGAAAGAGAAGCCGAGATATGCGTACAACACTTTCACCTGTACCCGTCCCACCCTATTTGATCGCTATGATTCATTTGAGGATACATTTGTGCATTTCAATCGATTTTAGTTTCTTCTTTTTTCTATCTTTCTTCTTTAGTCCATTAAAAACATTTTTTTCATACTTAGAAAGTTAAATAAGAATTTATAAAATATCCATTGTAAAAAGTATAGAGCCTTCGAACAGAGAGAATAAGAGATAGATAGAAGTTTAAGATATACCTAAAAAAGTTCTATATATTTGTTAATGAAGTAATGACACATGAGATGAAGAAATATAAATCCTTTTTGACCGTGAGTTTCTAATTTTTATAGATTTATCATCGCTAAAAATCCATAAATTTTTAAACTGTATTGTACATTGTAATATCGTATTATGTAATTATATGTATATGTGTGCATATGTACATATATGATATGTAATAGCAATTAGCTTATATTTATATAATATATTCGGTATATGCAAGAAATGCACTTTTGTACAAGCGTTCGCTGCAGGCGTGATGCATGCGAACTTCAACTACAAACTTATATATACATTCTCTCATCCTTTCATGTTGCATATTAGAGAGGTCAGGGTACCTATAACTGTGACCTCGTTATCGCGTCTTTTACGCTGTAATTTGTTTTTGACTAGTCCATTGCAGTTTTCGACAGAATTTTTTATAGAGGCATAAAAAATCAACACAAATTTTTTCACAGAAATAAATCAATAACAACAAAAATTCCAACAAATTTTATATTTTCTTTCAATCGGTATGATAGAATTTTTATATATTGTATATTATGTAAAAAAATAAATTATAAATATATCAATTGAGAGGAAGTATAAAATTTAATGGAATGTTTTATTGATTTTTTAAAAATTCGTCTTGATTTTTCATGCCTCGATGAAAAATACTGTCAGAAGCTGCAATAAATTAAATATGTTGGACAAACAAATTGCAACGTAAAAGACTTGCGCAAAAAATATAATTTGATGAAATCTACATATTTTATATTCTATTACATTACAATTATATGATAAACTACTTATTATTATTATTTGTACAAATATATATAGAATAATATAATCTAATATATACTCGAATATATATAATATATAATTTATTTTATATATTTATAATGTGTCTGGTACACTTTAAAGAAGTGCTCGTGAGCAGGTAGAGCGGACTGAACTGAATGAAAAAGTTCTGTACTATTTTGCAATTTTCGCAATTATTTTTTAATTACCCAGTAAATAGAATATCTAAAATCGACTCATAAAACAACTTTAACATATTTGTAGGAATTCTTTAAAAAAACATTTTTTAATTATTTTATTAAGAACTCTTAAAAGATATCTTAGGCCGGTATTCATAGTCAGTTCTTATATTCAAGACCGTCTTAAGTTCAGTCTTGAAGAGTTACGAACCAATCAGAGGGCCGCTTTAGCATCTTAAGACATTACTTAAGACAGTTTTGAAATAAGAACCGACTATGAATACCGACCTTAAAGTTGTTTTTAGACAAGCACCAGAAATTATGTGCGGCCGGATACCGAATATTTGCCAAATATTTGGTAATATATTTCTAAAAAATATATCAGTGATAATAAAAGTTTTCATGATATTCATATCATGATGTACGTTAATATAAAATTTTGGCTGCGTATGTTATTGCCGGAAATCAAATAATAACCGCGGATATCCAGCTCATCATTGTTGTTATTATATATGTGTCGATTTTAGCCGCTTATACGACAATATTTAGAAATTATATCCAAAAAAAATTTTACCATTTACCGGCTCCGCGTGTTAGTGTCAGAGGATTTTCCATTTATATACGATCTCAAGAAAATACTTTACAAAATAAAGAAATTTTGTATAATCATAAAGTGCTAGATTTAGGATTGCAATTCTCTTAATGCTAGAAGAATGTCTTGCATGTACTGACGTATACATGTAGCTATACGGTAGCACGTAAATGACAAACTTCTAATAAATAAGCGTGTCGCTAGTATGGTATCTTGTATATTCTTTTATTTCAAAAAGCTATTCCAATTAATATAATAGAATTTTTTGTAGAGGAATTAATTTTTGTTCATATAAGAGAGAGAGAGAGAGCCGTGTCCACAATTTTACAGATATATAAATATAACGTGTTATAAATGCACTTGATTTATGTAAGATTTTTTACCTAAGAGAAGACTTTTTGACTTAGTCCGAGCGTTTTATTTACTCATGTACTACATATGTGTCAAAACTTACCGGACATCCTGTAAATAAAAAATTTATAGTAACATATAACATTTCTTTTAGCAATTACATTTTTGCTTCACAAATTTAAATTTAAGAGGTATGAAGAATATTAAAGTCTCAAGAAGTTATGAAGATTGTATACGCGGCGTGAAAGGTTCAAATATTTTAGCTGGTTTCGTTGCGAATTTTTGGACAGCCATTAATGGAGGTGAATATCATGTATCGCTTTCACTCGTGACCATAAAAATAATGCAAAATTTACGCTTCGTACATCACTCCGATTCACGAGGTATAAATTGATTTATCATGAATTTTACGAAAATTTTTACGCTTTTATCCACCATAGCATTAATTACATTTAATTTTAATAAGCGTTATCACAATCTTTCATAGGGACTCGGACCGAAATTACATTATAGATTAAAATTTGAACTTGCGAATTATGGTTAGGATTATGGGTTACCCAATCGAGGCTATCCAATTTTCAATTTTGGTGTCGGTTCAATTCTTTTAGTAATAAGTGGTGACGCAGATATATAATATAATTATTGAAAATTGAAACAGAAAAAGATCGAAATCCGAACAGACTTGGTAATCGTTACAATAAAAAAAACTGGAATCAAAAGTTGGATTTAGCCTCGAATCGTTATCTGAATTTCTCGACTCAGTCTTATTGAGAGGAGCAGTTGACATCAGCAAAACATTTTCATTAAATGATAATATCTTACTCGATGCTATAAACTTGTATAAAGTATATGTATAAATGAACAAAGCAATAGCGTCTCCTGATGTAGTCGCATATCACAACTATAATTACGTTTATTAGTTTTCAAGTTTTCCGGCAAATTATGGACGGACTCTCAAGTATGAATAAGTACTCGTTTCTTGCACATGATGCAATTTATAATGACGCTTATGTGCCTGTAATACTGGCATTTTCTCTTCATCAAGGTATATTACTGTATCAGGTAGATCAAAAGCATCTTCAAAGCTGTCGTTTTTCAAATCATCTGAGAATTCTCAATTGCGTTATGGTCAAATTTGCATACTTGGTAATGATAATAATTTAATAATAAATTAAAAATGTTTTAATATATAATTTAAATTATAAGCAGAGAATAGTTTATGATTCAAAATTTACACCTTTTTTATTCTTCTTATGTGGATTAAAGATAATTATTGATTAATCAACCTGCACGTCACATCAAAAATTAAAAAAAGTCCAAATTAACATTTCTTTAAAATATAATTTATATTCTCTGCTTTAATTAATTAAATATGTATAAATTTTCTTATTATAATTTAAATAGTAGAGAGAAAGAGAAGTTTACCGACAAGTAAAGTATGCAGTGTTGCACTTAGATAATTAAAAATAATGATATTTTATAAATCTTTATCATATTTTATAAATCTTTATTTTTTAAAAATAAAAGTTTTTCGAATATATCATCTGATAAACAGTTCCTACGTGGAATTAATATTTGTTGTTCGCAACTAAAAAGACATTCTACTAGCGCTGATGATGGGGCGTGTTATATTTTAACAAAATTTGTGTTTAATGTGTGAATATAAATTCAGAATATCTAATTCTTTTGATTTATTTTTTAAATATAAAAGTACTTCAATGTTGCTTTGAATGACTGGTGTCAAATTAATCCCAATTTTTTTGTCTATATTGCGAAAAAAATTCTTATCACTATTACAACTGAAGGCTGATTGTTTACATAGAAATTTCTTACAATGCTCTTCTACAATCTTAGATAAATTGAAAAAGATAACACTTTTTAAAATCAAATATAAGATAAAGATAGTTTATATTCTTAATAATCTAGATAAATAAGATAAAATAAAGCCATTTCTTCATCTAGATTATCTAGATAATTTTATCTAGATAACGGAAAACATTAACTATATGTATAAATGCATGCTCAAAAAATCACTGTACGTGAAGAAGCGACGACAATGCGTGTTCATATAGCCAGCTCCGGTAACTATAGTGTGGAATCATGAAGCACTCCACACCCAAAATTTAGCGTAGTGTGAAAATCCACACCCAAAAAATCCAAATACTGCAGCTTAAAAATCATATGTTAATTTTTTAAAATGTTTTGTGCTGATGTCGACTGACATTCATTAAGTACAACTACGCGCATAACAAAGATTCCACTTACTGACTGTTAAATTAAAATAGCTGTAATAAAACTTTAGATATACCAAAGTCTTCCTGTTGGCTATTTCAACCACCATTTATGATCCAACCCAATGAGCACTTAATATTATTGGTATACGGTATGATTAATAAGTAACAAATGGAAGACCTTTGCTACTACTTTGGTACATCTAGAGCTTTAGGTCATATTTAGACTGTAGGTCATATTTAAAACTTGGACAAAGCGATAAATAAATTTTTCAGCAGGAATCAGCATAGAGCATCGCAATTCGCAATTGTAAAAAAGAAAACGACAAAAAGGTACAAAATAAATAGAAAATAAAAAAGTCACTTTTTTTGCCCTGCATGTCGCAGTTTTGCGTATCTGTGACATATTTTTTAACCTAAATAGTCGTGAAATTTAACGATTAATATCTCGATACACGGGATAGAGCGACGTACGCTTTCTTTCTGCCAGATTTTTTTGTTTTATGGAAAAACGCGTCGAATAAGTTTAACGACGTGTAATTAGACCAAAATTAAATTGAGATTAAGATTAGATTGGAATTTAACCAATCAGAGCAAAGTTCGCTAAACTTGAGATTAATCGATTTCTTTATTCTGATTAGTTAAATTCCAATCTAATCACAATTTCAATCTCTAGTCTATTACGCCTTAATTGCATTGATTTGTAAGGAGATGTGGGGAACTGAATTGTATAATTACTAGAAAAAATTTGAAGACAGAAACAATATATTTATATATTGATTTATTGCATAACGGCAGTTATATTTTTTTATATAAGAATTGATACTGATTTGTTATCCACTGTATCCTATGTACACGTATCACTTTGCATTAGACGCTAGAAAGGAGAAAACAAATGACTCAAAGCCGTCACACATATTGATATTTAGCTGACCATCCTTTCAGAGGGTTCGCTAGATTGTGTTGTGGGTGCTTCATGAAGGATTTTGCAAATCATATGGTAAAACTAGAATTTTTGAAATCGATTGGCATTGTATGTTGATCCACCGAATCTCTGCTGGAAGGGTTGCCGGTCGTACTTCTCATCATCGGGCCCAGGTGGATTTGCCGCGAGTGCTCTTCTAATGGCTTCTGGGATGGGGGGTGGCGTAGGAATATGGGCACCCTCAGCATGAAAACCATTTTCATCAGCTGTATATTGAATGGTAATAGGGGTCCCGTCGGGTGCGTGGTACGAAAAACTGCCTTGAACCACCTGTATAAGTTAATTAACAAATATATACAATATAATTAGAGCTTAGGAAAGAATTTTTTTTATACTTTGTTTATAATTGATTATAAGGTTTGTTGAGATATTTTGAACGTTTCTTATAAATTTGAAAAAATTAAACAATTAAATCTAACTTTTTATATTCTTAAGAAATTAGATTTTACTGCTGAATTAATGACCAACTGTTTAAAAGAACAAAGAACAAAAAATTTTTGTCAGTATAAAAATATAATCAAAATTGCCTAAAATAAATATTAAAAATAATAAATTCGTGTTAAAAATAATAATAGCAGAACTGATTAAAGGTATTGAAGAAGAAAAGAAATGCTGATTAAAACTAGAAGAAATAAAATTTGCATATTACATAAGACGCATAAGTAATTATTAATTTTTATTAGATGATGTAACATCCGTCACATCTGGAATGTACAAATCATATAGGAATTTAATAAAATTTTCTGATATACGTAAAATTTTTCCAAAATAAGTTTTTAATAAAAATTCTTATATAAATTTTTGTATAGGTATTAATTCTTAATAAGTTTCATTAATAAGTTTCTATATATTTAAGTGTAAATTTATTTAAATATAAATTAAATATATAATAATAACTCTGAATTTAGTTGTTAATAATTATGTTAATGTTGACTATTATTAAAGCATAAGAGAAGATAATAAATATATTTAGTAAACGATTATACAAACGTAATTAACTGTAAAAGAAACTATTAATAGAATTTTGATTAAATTAAACCTTCAGTGTGTTTAATTTTTAATAACACCTTTATAAAAGAATCAAGTTTCTTTTTTGTACGTAACTTTTCAAATAACTGAATTTTTGTAAAACTAAAATAGATGTGTTAAACATGTACGAAACAATACGGGATGATGTTCTTTTTACCTCTGTTTGACCTTGAGGCCCAACTTGAGGGTATCCTCTTTCGGCAACGGAAATTCCATTTTCGGTTTCATAGCTGAAAGTGTAAGATCCGTCGGGCGATGTATCCTTGTGCTGACTTCGAATACCTATGAACGGCTTTGATCTACGGTAAAAAATCGAAACCCTTGTACTATTTCGCATAATCTTGATTTCTAAACGGTTTCATTTATAATTTTCATTTATAAATTTAATATTGTTCATTTAGAATACAAGAGCTATTTCAGTTTTGGATCTGTATTTGTGTTTATTCCAATACCAAACATCAATTAACCCAAGAAATCGAAACAGTAATAAACAATAGTATTAAAGATAAATTTTATACAATAATAAATTTTAACGGCATTTTATTAAGAAATATAAAATTTGCAAAATTTATTATTTGCACAATTATTTATTTCAGATTCATCAATCCTTTTGTAATTGACGAAACACAGAACTAACTTTTAGAACTAACGCATTATCTGCTAACGATAGATTCCAAAAGTTATTTTGAGACTAAAATTCTAATATTAAAATATCAAGACTATAATAGTTTTTGAATTATAATCATTTAAAGCAAATTATTGTACCTATAAAATATGCGCGTTTAGGTACATCACAAAGTGCTATACGTAAAAGTAAAAGCTAACGGTTACTTTTATTAATATCGATATAAATATTACGTAGGTGAATATACAATTACTGATATTTCTAATTCTTAATATTTATTATATATTAAAAAAATATTTAGCTTTGACATTATGATATTCAATTTTGTCTCAGTAACTTTAGGAATCTGCCTTTAGGAATTAGCAGATGGTGCTTTAGATCTGAAACATCTTATATAGATAATGTTAAAAATTATGTTAATTTTTTATAACTTTTCAGTGAAAAAATATATATATACAATAATGTACCTAATATATTTTTAACAATTAGTTTTTTAACAATGTTATTGTAAAAAGGCTTAGTTGATTGTGTATACAGATTTCATACGTGTATTGCGTATTATATTGTGGTTGCGGCTGTGGCTGCGGTTGATAGGGCCTCGGCGTTGCTCTATATGCGTTTTGGCTGGGAAAGCCGCGGTACGATCCAAATTGTCCAAAGACGCAGCCGAAGATTGCAAAGGCTAAAATCTGCAACCATGATATTCTTATTTGACTCATCACATACAAAAAAATATTTTTTTTAATGTTTTATATAACATTTATTATTTACTTCTAAAATAGTATTTAAGAAATATGTGTCTATCGTTTTATATTTGAACCATTAACATTGATTTAGCAATTCATTTCCTAGCTAATTATTAAAGTTGACAATTCAATAATTTGTCAGTGTTTTTATGGTTCGCTCGGCTTTTTATACTGTGCATCAAATCGGATAATTTGATGTTCAGGATCCGAGTATGACCGATACATTTTATATCGTTTATTATTAACCCATACTCTGGAGAGTTTTTCTTTTGAAGATTTTAATTTAATTTGTATCGTAATTTATATTTATACTGATAAGAACTAAAACCGAGGGTTGAAACGTGTATATGTATAGATATAGGTTTTAATAAATAGTTTTAATACACAACTTGTGTTAGCATTGGTATGATTTATATTGTTAGATTTATTTTCTTGAGCTTTCTCAATTTTGTTCAAAACATAATAAGCATTATTTTATAAAAAATTAAATATTTCATATTATTTTATAGAATAATTGTCTCTATTAATGTGTGTTTAATGTAATAAGTCAATTTGTGCTTATCACTGAATAATTATTAAACATTTTTTATCTGTTTAAAATCAATATTAATTTTTTAACTATCTCATTTTCTTAAATATTTTTTTACGTTAATCTAAAAAGATTAATACTTTATAATCCTTTTTGATAAAAATAAAAAACATGTTTTTATTTCTATAAGTGAATTCTTCAAGTAATTATGATCTTATTAATGTGCTCTAAATTTGTGTGCTTATCTGCATGTGACTAATTTTAACATATAGTTATCAGCACAGATAATAAATGTAAGCTAATTGTTTAAGTTAATATTGCATAAATTATTATTTCAGTTATATATATTTTAATGTACTATACACTCATAACACGACGTTCTCAGCTTCAGTACAGGGCACACTAATAGGGACAAGTTTGTGGATACGTATTACTAGATCCACATGTATTCCTCATGTTTTAAAAAAATATTTAAATTATTTTAATAGTTATAAACAATGAAATATTATCTTTGGTATCGTATACATTCATAATTCAACTTGATAAAAAGAAAGTACCTTTTCTTATTTATTCGTGCCAGTTTTCTTTATATATATGGCTTTAAATACAAAATCACACACTAATAGGAAAAGACACAGTAATAGGGACAGGTATCCTAAATATGAAAATATATTTTTATACATTAATACGTTTGTAAAGTTACAAACTAAAATATACCGATCATGGTCATTGTGATTCTAATTTTGTAATTTGACATATTTATATATAAAAACTCGCACATTCGCAGTATATTTTTCTTATCGTTACTTAAAATTTCGAGGTATCACATTTCTCAATATTTGTTTAAGTCATAAACCCGTTATTTAGAGGTTAAATAGGAATTCCACGCGTTCTACATCCTCCCAATTTGAATTATACCATCAATTATAGGATGTTTCGTTATTGGCGTACAATCCTTGTGCAACACAATCGGAATCGCGATTTAGCAGAGAAAAGATGTTCTGTTCATTTATCAATACGTCCACCGATTATCGCACGTATAAATATAAAAAAAAAATAAACTAAAAAAACGAAGAAAACACAAAAAGCGAACGCGATCGCGGGAGGAAAACGATCAATATCCAAAAGATCGCCAGCGGTATCGACGAGACAAATCACTCACTAGATACTGCATGATGACGACGACGATTGTTGGCAGTTTGTTTACGGCTTTGTCGATTTGAACGAAATCGAATCTATGATTCCGTGCCGCAAACACCACCGTCATTTATATGAAGAGATGCCTAAGAAGCTCTTCCCTTCCCATTCTCCCGATTTCTGCGTAGATCGCTCGTTCGCTTGCTCGCTCGTGTTCGAGAGAGGAGCATTCTCCTCCGTTGAAGATCTCTCGTCGCCCTGCTTACCATCCTCGCCCCACCTCGCAACCCCAAATGTACATGTACGACGTCGTCTTCATTGCAATTCAGCAGCTGACAGACTGCTCTTTACGTGATCGAACAGGTTGTCGACGTTAGTTCACACGAATAAATTCATCGGTCAACCAATTAATTATTAGTCATACCTATACGTATGTATTCGTAAATGCCCACACCAACTACTGTTTTTGTTTAATAAAATCATTTGTTAACGTAAGTATCATTATTGTCGCTACGTGGGTGTCATTGTATGATAATATTAATTGTAACATGATAATATTAATAAATATGTAGTTGCGTACTATTATAATTGTAAAGTTCGTACTTTATTCTTGATGAAGGTGACTCCTCATTTACCAGCGATAAATGTTTAAATGTTTTGTTAAACAAGTAATATTTTTATATCCGGGTCTTCGAATATAGTCCTATAATGACTTTTCTGTGACAAAATATCATATATGTAAGTGTAACTCCAATAAATTAAACATATAGTGAACATATTGTGTATTTATTTTTGTTGAACATGGTTATATATAGAGACGATTAAATTCACGTTTTTCATTACTAATCATGCGAAAATATTATGTAAAGCCTATAAATAATGCACAGAACATTCGCTTTTGTAAATGTAAAAGGTATATATAAGCGGGAGCATCGTTTTCTCTCGAGTATCGAGTCCCAATAAATGTAAATGTTATGCCGCTCATAATAGTCAGTATTGTGTGCATTTGTATATGCACATATCTATGTGTGTAAATCTCACGAGGCCGCGGACATCAACTGACAACTGCAGATACGATGAGTAGCGATTCGAGATCGAGACCACTGCGAATGGGCGCGTCGTAATCCGCAGCGATGATTTCATTTTTTAAATATCTGTTACGTTGCTTTTGCGAGATCTTAAATATGTAATTATATTATTACATTGCCCACTGTTAATTTCAAAACGATTAATAAACATATCCACCTGTCAATTCGTGCATGCATTTATAATTTGCCATTGGTGTCTATACACATCGCCGCATGCGGCAACGCAACTTCGAAATGAACAAATCGGGAACAATGCACCATAGGATACTCATTCATGCACCTGATTTCGTGTATTGGAAACGTTATGTAATGACGGTTACACCGATGTGCTTCGCGAGAAATTGATGCACTCAGATTTTGCTTGCAACCTTGAGAATTCACACTTTTTCTTTATATATGAATTCTTTCATTCAAGACAAAGAAACAATTGCACTTTGCAAAGACAATCGATTGTTATGAATGCATATACTGTAATAATAACATCATTAAAAAATACTTGAGTGAAAAAGTATAAATCATCAATAAATAGAGCTTATACTAACCAATTTTTTGATATCCGTACATTAAAAATTAAATAATGCAAATTTATTAATTATTATATTTCAGTTTTCTTAATTATACATTAATGCCCATTTCCACCAATGTAGATTAACTTTAATCTCGGCTCAATCTCTTCGTCTTTTTTTAATTATAAAATAAATTAGAAAAAGATGAACTGTAAGTTAAATCGAGATTAAAGTTAATCTATATTAGTGGAAACGGACATAAATGATAAATTCATTATGCACTATGTATACATATGCAGAATACAATCTCTTCCAACATCCATTTGAGTTCCTCTCTACCATTATCATAAATCATTTACTTTTCACGCAAAACGTACATTTCATCTCTTCTACATCCATCGAAATTCCAGCGCGTAATTTCTCACGAGGTGTGATCACTCCCAGAACAGGATAAACTCTTCCATCCATGCAGAGATTGCGGTGTACGCATGCATAATCGCTCGCGAAGTTGTAATATCCTCTAGGGATTGCAATCCGCGATTCGAGTCGATGCACACGCGATTCGCCAGCAGACGAATCGATGCAGATACAAGACAAATTGCTGTACTAGAGTTGATGTGATATGTGACATTGACGCCAACACTCATTCGCACTAATGTGCAATATCAGCGATGCTCACAGAAAAGAGCTATTCATCTTTATCCATGGACGATTATTATTCGGCCAATCGATTGAAGTATGTACATCATTATCGATTTGTCCTATCGACACTGTCTAAACAGGAGTAAATGTCAATTTATATTATAGCTAATAGGCCTGTTCTTTTTATCGAACTGGTACACAGAGTGCAATAAGTTGAAGTGAAACAGATTACGTTTGTTTCATTTCAACTTATTGCACTGTATGTACCAGTTCAGACAATGCAGGCAAAAAGAACAGGCCTAATATTTCCTGTACCAAAGTACATTTACGACACTTAATACTAACATTAAAAAAATTTTAATTCAGGGAATGGAAGTATGTGCTCCTAATAACGTTATTTTTTATCATTACTTTTATTATTACATTCATTGTTGTATGTATACATTGAAAAAAAGAGATTGGCTACTAAAGTAATTTAGATGATAAAATATATATGGCAACATTTTTAAATGGTCAATAAAAAATGCTATGCCATATTTAGCTAATTATTTTTTTCAGTGAAATAACAATTTGATAATGATGTTCGGACGTTGCAAATTTTTAATGGCGATAATGATAATATTACAGTTGAAAAAATCGAATATTCTGTCGGGTCGGAAAAGTTACTCAATACTGAAAAAAGTAACTTTATTTGTAATTACTTTTATTCGTTACTTGTAACTCATTGATGCGTTACAAATTATTCATTACCTTGTTCAGTAAATAATAGTGACTATAGTTACTTTTCCATATGGCTTTTCTACCTTATCGCAAAACTTCAATGTTTAGTTAATTATCATTATAGTTAATTATCATTGCAATTATAAAAAATTGCAATGTTATTATTGTTAGTCTAAGAAGTAATGGTAAAAGTAACGTAGTAGCTCTTCCATTGCCTGTATTAATTGTATGATCCATAATATAATCGAACTCTAACATATCGATAAAGTGTATAGTAATTATAAAATTCAATGTATAATATATAGTAAATGTATGGTCTTTTTCTAAAGAATTTGTTGCTTATTATACTCGTAATTTGTTCGATTATTCATATATGGATATGGTTCTTTATTGGGGGTTATATTATAAGTAATACTTTAATCTTTATTAGTTAGGATATTTAATCTTCAGATGAATATTGAATAAATATGATTATATTAAAATAGATATGATTATAGTTACAATTTGTCTTGATTGGCGTAACTTATATTTTTCAGCAGACATGTGTTTATTTTCTTAATTAGATCTTTCAAGCAATTGCATACATTTATAAATGATGATACGTTAACATAAAATTAACTAGCTCACTTTGTCGCCGTACTCGCAAAATATATTCTATGTACAAAAAGCTGAGTTAATTCCAGCGTACATTCGTCTTTTGCGTAATACGTAACATATACGTAGGTAGAAAAGGGAATCTAGGAATCCAAGATTATACAGTCGGTAATTCTACACAATTCTTAAAGCCTGAAAACTAGGAACGATACTAAGTGTCATGTATGTTGCAAAGTAACATGCGCACACAAGGTAAACTGTATTTCCCCCTCGAGTTTAACGAACGTTAGGTAAACTTGATGCTTAATAAGCGATTTCCCTGATCGAATACCGTACGGTACGTCGATAATATGTGCGAGTCACATATATTGTAGTAAATAACGCGTTGAAACCTGCAAAATGCCGTCGAGTAAGTGGTATTCACAATTTTCATTAACCACTCGCTGCTGGAGTAGAGTCTCTCCAGTTATTTTCGTTGTAAATACATCTAGTGCGTTGCACATCCCGGAATCCGTAAAATCATAAACTTGTCTGTACGTTCCCGTCGCACACGGCAATTAATACCAGCTGGAACGTCATCAGTACTCTATCGCGAGCGTTGATTTATTGATCTATTGGGAGTTAAAGTCTCTCGTATCTATCATTTGTCAATGTTACACAGCGGGAATGTTATCTCCTTTGAACGTTATCTCTATGTTATTCAATCTAATGTATTAGCAGCTACAGATATCACGAGTGCGTTGTTAAATAAGATAGCTAATTTGATGTTGACGGCTGACGTATCATTATTATATCTACATATATAAAGATACGCAATTACTTAAAAGATACTGAGAAAATAAATGCACATCTGTTAAAAAATATAAATTGCACCAATCAAGACAAATTATAATTACATTGTCATATTTATGACATAATCATATTTATATTGAATATCTAATTCATTTGATGATTAAATATTTTATATATAACCAATAAAGAATAAATATCTTAATCCCTCAATAAAGAATCATCCATATATGAATAATCGAACAAATTACGAGCATGTATAATAAACATCAATTCTCCAGAAAGAGGAAATACATTTACTGTATACATGTAATATATATACATTGAAATATTAAATTTTGATTATTATACACTTTAATGATATGTGAATGTTCGATTTTATTATAAAATATTGATTAATTAATGCAGGGAACAGAAGAATTACTATGCCGTTACACTTTTATATAACGTTACTTTTTAGACTAACAATTTGATAATGATATTGCAATTTTTTATGACTGTAAAAATAATTAACTAAACTGAGATTGCGCTATGATTAGACAAGTCACTTTAAAAAATAACTTATCACCATTTACGCGTAACTTATTTTAAAAAAGTAATAAGTATCTTGTAACGCATTGATAAATTATTTTTCCGTTAGAATAATGAATAAAAGTATTTATAGTTATAAATAAAAGTTACTTTTTTCAATAATAAATATGACTTTTGAATTATCTTGTACCAATAATGAAATAGCAATAGTAAAGCAATCGATTGTCATTATGTAGGCCACTCAAGTTATCTGTTTATTC